CCTTCAGGACACTTCCCTGCTGTCTGGAGTAAGATATAAGAGTATTAGTTTCCTGCTGATGTAACCAAGGTCTTTACACTGCCAAGCTGCTCTGTACATTAAGAACTCTGAGTCATAGGGGCAGTTGGTTCAAAGGAGCTTGCCAAATCAGTACCCAAAATACATATTTCATATTTAATCCAAACTGTTCCATACTCATTTAATAGATTAAATGGTATTGAAAGTCATTGTGCTATTGATTTTGTGCAGAAGTAGATGGTTTAATCAATATTTCTCTCTGTGTGGATTTCTCTGATTCTGCCACCTTTGAGTTGCTGAACCTTCCAGTTCCATGCAGTTCTCCCAAAACTGCTTTGAGGGAAAGGACTAGGCACATATTCCCTCACTAAGAAGAAATTTGCAAGAAAGTGCTAGTAGCTTGAAGCACATCATCCAATTAATCTTGCAGAATTCATCATAGATTTTCCCTGAAAGGGGAAAGGAGCAAAGGGGCTATTGATTTTTTTTTTTTTTTTTTTTTTTTTTTAATAAGAGTGGAAAATGTTTCAAGATCCAAAGAGAAAGCAGAATAACAAGGAACTGTATCCAGGCATGCATCCGTGCTTCTTTGTGGTACTCTCTCCTCCTTTGGAATTTCCATTGGCCAGATCTCTGTGCTTGCTCTGAAGCAGCCCCGGGGATTCCTGGGGCTTTGCTGGGAACGGCAGCCAGCCCCCTGCGCTCCGCTGGGCACCTCCCCGGCCTCCAGGCTCTTCTGAGGAGCCAGCAGCACAGAGGCCCAGCCTGCAGAGGAGGTTGCAGTGCTGAAAGATGGCTTGACCTCAGCTATGGATATGCTTTTATTTTATGAATATAACTGTATGTCAATACTATTTTTTTTTTTAGAGTAAATTTTGATTATCTGAATTTCCTAGGGTCTGTGACAGTGCATTCACAATCTGACAGCTATTTAAGATAACATGAAGAAATAAGTCAGTGAAAAGGATGTTTTCAGTAGTTAATCTGTTTCTTCTAATTTTGCACCTGAAGGTAGATAACACAGATGCAGAAGGAAGACTGCTGTTAGCTGATGCTCTCTGTTATGCTCACAGTTTTAATGCAAGGGCCATTGTGAATGCTGCAACGTTAACAGGTAAGCAGTCTCCCTTCCTTGCTCATTTTGCAAGCTGGTTGTTACTTTTATTAATTGGGCTGTGAAGCAGTTGCTGTATGTAGATAAAGCCAACTTGAATTTGAAAGCAACTGAGATGACTTTACATGTAGGACAACAGCTGGCACAGTTTATGCTCTAACAACTTGCACAGCTGTACCATGTCTCTAGGACTGGGGTGGGTGTTGGCACGCAGGGTGCACACTCAGCAGTGTAGGTGAAGTTGGGCCAGCCCAGCTGAGCTGGAACTAAGAAAAGCAGGGAAAACCTAGGCAGACTTCAGCCTTTCTCCACAACGTTTTCCAGTGCTTCCATTTCTGAGCTAAGCCCTCCCAGCTCCCGGGGCTGTGTGATGCAGAGCTACTGGCATGGTTGTGGAAGAATCCTGCCAGGTCCATATGGCACTGGTGGTGCGGGAGCCAAAATAGCTTCTTTGTGAGCAGCTTCCTGAGTGCCTGAGCTCTGACCGAGCCAGCACCAGCTCTTCCATTATGTGAGCTAGCTCAGGTCTCCACGATTCTAGAGAACAGAACAGTAGAGTCATTATCATCTTCCCAAGAATTCGTTTGACTGAAGTATCTCTTAATTTATATGCAGTTAGCATACTTACAGGTATAATAAAATGCACTTTAGTTGTTTAATCTCTACAGTTGTATATGAATGAGGTTATAATTTTAAATTTAAAACCAGCATTGGGTATGCATCTCATGAACTGCAGTAACAATCTGTCATGGGTGAAGTGACTGTAGCTGAAAAGAGAGGAAGCATGGAAGAGTAGTTCAGCCAGGAGTCCACTGTGTTGCTTAATGCCTATGCTAAGCAAAATAATTATCTTTTTTTATATATTCTCTACAAGTGCTGCTTTAAATGATGTTCCATCAGTTTTACCAGTTCAAATGCTGTGGAAAATTTCAGTAGACAAGAAGTGAAGCTGATTTTAAGATTGCTGGCCTGTATAGAAGTATTCCTATATTATTCTGTGTTTGGGATCCTTGGGCACCAAGCAGGAAGGACAAGAACTCCCATAGAAATTTTTTTGCCATATAATTTTGTTAAACTATTTTTTTTTTCTTAACCTCACTGAGGATTGAGTGTTGGTGTTAGAGAAGCAGTTCTTTGGTATCAAATACATATGTACGTAATCCCTCTGGTTTAGGCATGGTTTAGTATTTTGATAAGGATTATTTTCATTTGAAAGTAAACTCACATATGCTGTGCAAAAATCTTTGCAAGTGAAATTCACAGATGGGAGAGTATCAGGTTGAAAACTGTAGAAGTGTATAAATTGGAAAAAGTCCACTTGTATTTTCTATATGGAAACAAGAATATTTTCTTTTTTTGAGAACACACTGTTATTGCCAAATACATTGTATTAGAAATATTGCTAAGAAACATCAACAGAAAATCTAGTTTAATGAGATACAGAATACAATTTTATTAATTCTTGTCCTGTTAGATTTATATAATGTTTTAACATTTAAACTTTAAAGGTTTTAGTACACTTGAATTTTTTAGTTTTTGCAGACTTCAGAAAACACTGATAATGGCAATTAAAAATGGGAAGTTCTGTGAGGAGTCAGGATGCAGAGGAATAGCTCAGGTACCACCTTTGCCTTTGCTGCATTATCTCAAAGGTGTGTTGCTGTAGGTGCCATGGATGTTGCACTGGGGTCTGCTGCAACTGGAGTGTTCACAAATTCATCTTGGCTTTGGACTCACCTTTATGAGGTAGGCCATCTGCATTGTTATTAAATCATAACAATAATTCAGTAATAGCTGTTACTGAAAAGGTAGTGCATTAGTGAAAGTCTTTATGCAAATCTAAAAGGTATGTTATTACATTTTGAAACCTTGTAGGAATGGTGTTAGTGTACTGTATTTAATTGAAAATAATTAATTTTGATTATTAATTAGCTCTTTAGTGAGATTTAGCATCATACAGTAAACAGCATGCACATCATATTGAGGATCTTCATGTTCTGATAACTTACTGCATATGCGTAAGTTCTAGACTGCTGACAGTAATTAGTTCATGGTAAAAAGATAACTGATCTTTTTAAACAACACTCAGACAAATTCAGAGAGGCCTTGTGAGTGGCTAAGTGTGATGGCTAAAGGAAGCCTCTGAAGGGAAGGATTTGTGTTGTCAGGAAAAAGAAAAAAAAGCTGTCTTTAGATGTTACCTTTTGACTAGCACTAAAGTACCTAAAAAGTAGAATTCAGTCTTTTGTTTTGCAGTGCATTTCCAAACACCTAATACTGTATTGGGGTGAAGATTTTTAGCCTGGTCAAAGCTAAACAGAAGAAAAAGCACGCATGATACTGAGGCTTACAAATGCAGTTTATAAAAGAAGAAAGAAAAAAATGCCAAACCTATCACTGTTTCTCTTTCAGGCCAGCATTTTGACAGGAGACAGAGTTTGGAGGATGCCTCTTTTTGAGCATTACACAAAACAAGTAACAGACTGTCCTCTTGCAGATCTGAGTAACATTGGAAAGTACAGCAGGTAAGATGTACCACTATCCTTCGTGTGTCCCTTTCTCTCATTGTATTTAATGTTCGTGCTGTTGGTGTTGCTGTAGAAACAGTACAATTTTTCTGCTTCCCACAGAGCTGGAGGAGCATGCACAGCTGCTGCATTCCTGAAAGAATTTGTGACTACCTCTCACTGGGCTCATTTAGATATAGCTGGTGTGATGTCCAACAAAGATGAGGTGCCCTATCTTCGAAAAGGCATGGCAGGGCGGCCTACAAGAACGCTAGTGGAGTTTGCAGCTCGATTAAGTCAAGACAATCACAATACCAAATAAAATACTTACTCAAAAATCATCCACTCTGCCTTAAGAAACAAATCTTCAGAAGTATCATTCATAAATGAAATGCCCCAAGCATATTTTCATTATGGCAGTGAACTACAAATGCATTTATAAATCATTACTTGGGTAAGAATATCTCACCTTTGAGATTTGTCATCCCATGTTATGCAATTTAAAATAAAAAATATTCTGTTTGAACTATTGAGATATTTATTAACAAAACATAATAATGAAAAACATTTGAAGCCCTGTTTTATATGTAAAGTAAGCATAATTACTGCAAACAATAAATCTCTGGTTTGTATGTGAGTTTTGACAGAATTAACAGTAGATGGAGATCATAGCTGTGCCTCAGTTTTGCGTAAATTGTAGGTGGTGTGAGAGGTAACTTGGCAAAGTTGTTTATAAAAACACCTTTCTGACATTTTTACTTAAAAAAGCTGGACCTGCTGTTGGTGTGTATTGAGGTAGAAATGTTGCACCATCAGACTTTTAGGCATGATTAGCATGGCTTCAGCACTGGATTATGTAGTGAGTCTTAAACAAGTGCCAGTAAAAGTGTATCTTGTAACTGTTTAACAAAAACTAATGAATGTAAGTTAGTGTTTGGCGGGGTTTTGGGGAGGAACCTACCCCCACCTCAGGCTATCCTGCTGCTTCTTGACTGGTTCGAGGCTGCCAGGCTCCAAACAGGGCCGCTGTTCTCACGGCCACTTCAAACGTCAAACAGATTGAACGCTGACAACGTGGGGCGATCTTTCCTTGACAATTCCGGGGATCCAGGCCCCGAGGGTGCGGCTTTTCGGTTTTGTTGTAGGGTGGTGGGTTTGTTTTGTTAAAAGCTGGTGCCTAACAGGCTGGAGATGCGCGGAAGGGCACGGATCGGAGAAGAAAGGGCCTGCTGGAAAGAAGAGTGGCTTTGCTTTCTCTGCTTCTCGTCACCGTTTGAAGGGGAGGCGGGTGCCCGGCGGGGCGGGCAGCCCCTGCGTGAGGCGGCGGGGCGGGCTGAGGGGGCGGCAGCGCCCCGGCCCGCCTTCCGTTCCCGCCGCGCGGCGCATGCGCGGGCGCCGCTCGCTATGGCGGGCGCGCTGGGCGGCATGTTCGCCAGCCAGCCGCCGGGGCCGCCGGGCCCGCCGCCGCCGGGGCCTCCCGGAGCGCCCGGCCCGGCCGGCCTCATCCCGCCGCCGCCGGGGCCGCGCAATCCCAACAACACGCTGGTGGACGAGCTGGAAGCGTCCTTCGAGGTGCGTGGGCCGGGGTGGGGAGAGGCCGCGGAGCGGGCGCTGCCCTCGCGGCCTTCCTACCTCCGCGCTTCCCTCTCCCGCAGGCCTGCTTCGCCTCGCTGGTGAGCCAGGACTACGTGAACGGCACGGACCAGGAGGAGATCCGCACCGGTGAGGCCCCGGGGTTCCCCCGGCCGCCGCCGAGGCGCTGCAGCTCGGCGTGGCCGGGAGCCCCCGCCGCGGCACGGCTTGGTTCCGCGGGCGTGAAACGCCGAGGGGCGCGGCTGGGTTGGCGGAGGTGGGACTGAGTTCCCCTGAAACTGTGGGGTTTTGGGGGTGCATTCGGGCCTCGCCGGGGGCTGTGTGTTTGCGCCTTGTCGCTTGAGGCTAAAAAGAGGTTTAAAAAATATTCAGGGTCTTTGAGCTGTGGTTCTGGCGTAACTGGGGGGGTTGCTCGCTCCTTCTCGGGCGGAACGCCGCCCACAGCAGTGAGGGGCTCACACGGAAAGAAACCCACTCGGGACTGATGGGGGTCTTGTGGAAGGGCCTGAGCCCCAGCTGGTTCCCGGGGTCGTGTGGGGTCATGGTAATGTGCAATGAAATGCGTGGTTCTGCAGCTAGGAAGCTAATGTGACACGTTACGGAGCCACATGAAGCAATAATAAAAGGTGGGAAAGCCTAGATTGCTTAGTAGCAGTGCTTTCAGATGCGTGTGACAAGCACCTCTGTGGGAGGTGTAATTAATACTGGATTAGTATAAAAGGGAAGTTTAAAAGTGGCCCTTGACTACTGTTTAGAAGTGTACTTCTTGAAAAATTTTCAAAGCTTGACTCTAAAGCACTGTTTTGAAAACAGCATAAATGCTTTTGAAAACTCCTTTCTGGGTATTGGATCATATTTGTATGCTGGAATGGGACAGCTTCTATTATCAAAACAATGGTCCATCAGATATGAAGGCAGAATATTCTCATACATGTGCCTGTATTTTAGAAGCTTACATTGAGCTTGTTGCTTGGGCATGCAGAGAAATGTTTTCTTTATTCAACCAAGTTCCAGAAACTATTTTATCACTCTCTGTCATGGTCAAAAATGTAATAAAACTTGGGGAAAAGAGTTACTGTCTTGTATCTTTAAAAAGAAGTTCCGAAAGCTTGCAAAGCAGTGTTTTATACAGAGACTTAATGTGCGTCCTGGTTTTATATATCATTCTAGTAAAGCTGAAGATTTTATTTCTAGAAAGCACTGTGAAAAGTGTTTTTAATAGCATGCAGGCAATGACCAGTATCAGCCTGATAACTTGTTTTTGGGGGATCTGTTCTATTTTGTTATTTTATGTTTAGGTGTTGATCAGTGCATTCAGAAGTTTTTGGATGTTGCAAGGCAAACTGAATGCTTTTTTCTACAAAAAAGACTGCAGCTATCAGTCCAGAAACCAGAGCAAGTAATTAAAGAGGTATGTTTAAATCAATTTCCCTGCGTTGTTCTAGGTCAGATAAGCTGTGTACTAGTACAGTGAACCACCTTGTTCACATTCATTTTGGGTTTTTCACCATGATGTTGTATCTTAAGTTGGTAGAGCTTGACTGTTAACGTAGCTCTCACCATGAGCCTGGAGAAGCATGATGCCTGCTGCTCTGTGGAGTGTTGCAACACAGATGATAATTTCACTGGAAGAAACAAACCAGTCAGTCAAATTTTGCTGAAAGTAATGATCTCTGAAATACGTGACCATGGGGAACAGAACCAGTGTATTTGCAGTGCTCTCCCTCTGTTTCATTAGACGCTTTTCCATTATTAAAATCCCTGTAAGATCAGCTTGAAAACAAATTGCCTGCTCTTTAAGAAAGGTAGTTATTCTTATGAATGCTATCTATTTACTGATACACATTTTTTCATCCATAGGATGTTTCAGAATTAAGAAATGAACTTCAGAGAAAAGAAGCATTAATTCAGAAGCATTTGGGTAAACTGCGACACTGGCAACAGGTCCTGGAAGACATCAGTGTACAGCACAAAAAGCCAGCAGAAATGCCTCAAGGTCCATTAGCTTACCTAGAACAAGCATCTGCTAATATTCCTGCTCCAATGAAGCAAACGTGATCTTTGATTTTTACATATCTGAATATTTTCAACAATGCAAAGCAGTGGTGTTCTTTTTACTTTGTATGCTTTTTGTATAATGTAATTTGTACTATAAATATAAATAGTTAAGACAACTAAGCAAATTTAATTTTTTTTTTTTACCAAAATACAGATTGGTTTGGTATTTCAGTGGAAAATATGCAGAGCTACTATTCAGGATGCTTTCTGGTAGAAGTGTGTTTTCCAGATTGCATCCTGTTCCTTCTAGAAGGGGTGGCCCTAGCTCTCCCCTAAGTGTATCTTTGTTGGTGTGATGAAAATACTTGCAAAGATTACTGTTTGGTTTTACCAGAAGATTTAAATGTTTTGTGATCCAGTAATTATCCGTAAGTACCACTGTAGAAGCACCCTTAGAATTGTCTGTATCTAGGTCAGATCAAGAGTGTACTTCCTTGAAGTGAATTATCCACCTCCACTGGACTTCTGCTTGCCTCATGAAGGTGTCTGAGGATACACAAATTTGATTCTTACAGGATGAAATAAAACTGCAAGGTGCATACCCCTGGGGGTGTGTGGAACGCAGGTCCCATGCTACTGGTGTTCTGTCTGTCAGGTTTGTGTAGAGATGGTCCAAAATCCTGACTCCCAAAATAAAGACCACTCATTGTGGATATTGGGTCATTGGCACTGTCCAGTCTACAGGATTAGCTTCTACTGGGGTGCACTATTTAGTAATATAAATGTAGCCAAAAGAAAATTTTGGAGGTAGAAATAGCAGAGGGAGGCCTGTCTCCCATTTACTAAGCAACAAGCTTAATTCATCTATGTAGCCAGGAAAGCCGCTTTGTAGGGACACCATTTTGGGTACAGACTTAATTAATTAGAATATTGTAGCCCTGGAAATGAGAATTTGTAGTTGTGTATTGAACTTTCTAGTGTGATTTAAAAGTTTGGGGGGCAGAGTGGATGAAAACAAATGAAAATCTTAGACCTATACATTCCTGATCCTATCACAGATACCAAGGCGCTCCTCAGTGTTACTGTACACCCATTTGTCCCCTTGATTATATGGGTAAAAGGTGTCTTTTTGCCAAATCTCATGCCAAAGTCTCTTTCCAAACCCAGCAGTTCATCTTGGAAAAAATACTAGACGTCTGGGATGAAAGCATTGGCCTGTAGAAGCATTCTGCCCCTTCTGCCACCTTTTTGCCACCGGTGAGGTGCAGGGGCTATTCTGCAGTAAGTGCTTGCATCTGTTGGTACCGTTCCTGCTGGCTGTTTGATATAAGAGGAGGTTAGGCTGGAGGTATGTCTCTTTGCACGTGTAAAATTTGTTACGTAGCTGGGCCCTGCTGGTTGAAACTGGGATTCAACTCGTGCAGCAGTTGAAGATAAACTATCCTGTCTTGAACACAAGGCTACTGGTTGCACAATTCCCTGCCTTTCACATTTGTCGATGAATTACCCAAGGGTTAATTTCTTTGTGGGTGTCTTTCTTCCCAGTAATGAGTTTGCTATCGTGATCTGATAAACACAGTCATTCACCTACTTTGCATTTAGGTGAGCATAAGAACATTATTGAGATAAAATGTACGAGTATGCAGCTCCCATAAATGTGGAGCTGTATCATTCTGACTCACACTTCGGCATAACGTGGCACTATTTTGCAAAACATAGAAATGGATTATTTACAAGCAAGTTTTAATGTTCATACTTATATATTACCCTAATTTATCAGGCTGATACATGTATTGAAGTGCAACAGGAATATTATATTGCGATGCTGACTATACAAAACAGTTTATTAAGCAACCCAGAAAGTATTTCTAAACAACCTGCTATAAACATGCTATTCTTGGAGGCATACTGCATGATGTACAGTTTAAAATAAGTTTAACAAAAACCTATTAAAAACTTTAAAAATGACATTATTATATGCAGAAGTTATTTTTAAACAGCTGATGAAGCAAATGTGTAAACCTACAGAAATAAGATCTGTTTTCAGCTGGAAACAGATTGACTTGACATAGCAGAAAAACCAAATTGCATATTTAATGTAGTTGTGGAGTTGTACAGTCTCTTGATTAAAAAGTCTCTTCACATAACAGTATCTAGAATTTTGCTTTTTCTTCATTTTTTACAGAGGTTAAAAAAATTGCATTTTTCTGAAATCCATTAGATCAAAGAGACTGCAGTTGCTCCTAATTATTTACATGGAAATTACATCTCTGTCTTTTTTTTCTAAATCATATATCTGATTATCATTTCCTAGAAGAAAACAGGAACAGCTTTTCTAGTAATACTGAGTAGTACAGAAATAGTTTGCTTTAAAATGAAAAATATTTAGTAAACCATTCTTGATGCTGAGGGTCTTGGTTTTGGTCATCTTTGGTTTGTGGTGGTTCATTGCCATGTGTCCTGTGCAAACAAATAAGCATTAGCATCACTCACAATCTTACCAGTATTTAATACTTTTTTTCCTCATGATCCTGTGAATGGATCTGTGCTCACATGACCTGTATGAGGCCAAAAGGTGCCAACTACAATTTCTAGTGGGATCTGTGTTAGGCAGGTAACTGGGCTGACGGCACTCAGTAACACAAAGGAAAGCGTGAAAGAGAGCTGAACAGCTATGGAGAAATGTTTTCACATAATTCTTGACATCTCAAAAAATAAAAGGATGCTTCAAGGATGTGAAGTCTTAAAAATCAGAAAATGATAGCTGCAATTCACTCTTAAAAATATGAAATACAATTTATGCATTAAAAATGTTGGGTAAAAGTTTTATTTGGAATGGAAGGATTTATCTAAATATTAACTGGCTTTTAGAATCAATCCTATTACCTAGTTCCTCATTTTTCAGCATTCAGGATGTTTTTTTAGCATTTATATTACTTTCAGTTAGCTTATAGTAGCAAATTTGACTTTACTTACAACTGATTGATTTAAAAGAGTAAGTAGCTGCCTACCTACCCTCAGTCTCCCTGTACATTTCCCTTTAAAATACAAATCTGATTTGCCCTGGCAGTCATCTGGCATGATACAGAATGCATTTATCTTTTAAGATGTAGGAATTGTCAAACTGGATCCAAGCCCGTATCAGGGGTTACTGGTTTTGGCAGCAGTCAGCACCATCTGCCTTCAGGGAAAGAACTCTCCAAAACAATTTACAATGTAACTAATCTCCACTAGGAGATAGGTGAGAAGGGTGGCTTTTGTCCTCAAGTATAGTGGTAGTTATTTTTTTTTTTTTTTTTTTTTTTTTTCCCCAATGTGTAATGTTAACTACATATATTTTTAACTATTTCTTGAAGAGATAGCTCAGTCATGTTTATACAACACTCAACATTGTTTAAATACTAACTCATATATTTGAAGAAAAATTAAAGCTTTTCAGAGAAAAAATACTGAACTAAGAAGTTTTTAGTTAAGTGTCTGCTAATAAATTTTTAAGTCTAAACCCTTTGCCAAATGATTAGCCCAAATTCATTCAAATATCTTCTAAAATAAAAATAAGCCATCTACATCTACCAAGTGCAAAGCAGGGGAACAAAAGTAAGAAGGAAAACACCACGGATATATGAGCAAAATTTTAAACAGTCATGTTCACTATTAACTACATTCTTAATTAAATATTTTCAAGTCTTCTCCTCTATGTTTTGGTTTTTTTTTTTTTCACTGGGAGGAGTTGCAAGCATAAGCTGTGCTGGGCAGTGATTATAGCCTAGTTTGCTGTAAAGTTCTAGGTCTATCTGCAGAGGATTGAATGCATGGAGTTCACTGCATAGCAGAAACCTTATGTCATTGTTTATTGCCAAAAGTCTAATGTGCTTGAATTGCCTACAAGATTCTCAATACCAATTCATTTATCATCTTACAAGTCACTGTAAAATGGACAAGTACCTTGTGGCAGCACTGCTGTCTGAGGACAGTGCTGATGGAGAGCCCACCTTGAGGAAGCCAGGACTCCGGTCTAAGCTTGTAGATTTTGTTATTTGAGGAGCACTTCTTTTTGATGTCAAGTCACAGCTCAAAAAGCTCTTTGCGTAGGAAGCTAAATTCGGAACACTGACAACACGACTGGGCACCTCAACCGTTTTCTTCTGCTGCTTTTTATTGTAACAGAAAACTTATTTTTTATTGTAACAGAAAACACATTTTTTTTTACACTCTACGCTATAAAAGCTCAACAATACCTCATTCCCAGATCTTCTGAGGAGCACCCAAAAATGAAGATTCCCATTTTTTTCTATAGGCATTTAAAATAAATTCTCAGGGTATGCTGTGAGGATCCATGGATTAGGGAGTCCAATTAAAACAACTTGTGACCAATTTGACCCTGAAGTTTTAGAACCATCAAAGCCGATAGTTTTGCAGAGCTCAGTTAGTTAGGTTCATAATTTTCCTTGATGCATGCAATATCCCAAATAGCAACTCTCAAATCCACAAGCAGCTCTCAAATCTGCAAGCAAAGGCTGTGCTTATCCCAGAAGACTGAAGTTTTTGGAGTTCTAGTGTTTCATATTTGCCTAAACACCCGTATCTATGTGCACATATACTTCCACTGAATTTATGTTGTACTCAGCACCTGACTGTAGGTTGGCTTACTGGAAAAAATTCTACTGAATAACATTACTATAAAAAATTATTAAGACTTTTATTGACCTGATCATTTGTATGATTAAAATAAAAATAAAAGCTCACAATTTGTGATTTTAACTGCATTGCCCATTTTACCTTCATGGAAGGAGTCAAGCATCCTGCATTAGGGTTGAAAGAAAATGATCTATTCCTGTAAGATTGAGTGTTGGCTAAAAGTGAGTGCTGAAATTTTCTTCCTTCATGAGGGCAAAGAAAGTTAGGTGTGTGGAAACATCTATTCATTGGAAGTTGGTATGGAAACATATTTGTCAAAGTATTCCAGAACAGAAAGAATCAGCCTGAAGCAATGTGTGAAACACTGAAGAGAGCCTTCCAACAGATTCCAAATTACATGTGCACTTATAAAGGGAAATCTTACCGCCAGCTGCTTGATCATCTCTTCTCTCTCACTTAATTTGTTTTGCAGACAGCTTATAAGGTGGGTATCTTCTGATCTAGACTCCCATCTTCTTGACTTTTCTTCTAATTGCTTAAGTCTGTACCAAAGAAAACTCAGACTGGAAAAACACTTCCTCAGCCCAGGTTCATGAGATACCCAGGCTGTACTCTGCCCTAAATTCCAAGCCTATAATATAGGAACACAGTCAGGCCTTTTTGATAAAACAGCATTTTTTTAAAAATGGGCATCTGTACATGGATTACATATAAGTACAGAATGTTATGGAGTTCCAAACTAAATTGCCACCAGGGTTAATCCACAACACCTGTCCAGTATAAAATTCAGCCCCTGGTATAAAATACTAACAAGCTTGCACATCACATTGCTAGTCCAGTTTCCTAAAGAAAAAAAAAATCTGTGTCACAGTATCTATGCATGTTTGTATTAATCTATTTGTTCTCTTTTCTGACCCAATAATTTTAGAACCCACAGGCTAATTCCCACCATATTTGATAGAGGCCTCAGAAATACTCAATTCCTATAACTTTCATGAAGAGAAAGGCTTGGATATACATGCTGCTTTAGTGAAGCCTCTAAGTCAAAACCTATAATGTGAGTTCAGCTCTTTAAATGCCTTAATCAGGGGTAAAGATTCACATGAGAACTTACACCTTCTTGAAGATACTGTGGAAACATAAATTTGATTGACCCATGAGAAAAGTTATTATTTCATCAACCAAGTTCATAAATTTTGCTGCTTGAGAAACTGAATGCTATGAAGTTCACCTGTCATACTGAGAAATGTATCACAGAATACAAACCGCCATTCTGTGGGGCTTTTGGTGAGGGTAAACGTTTTTGAGAGGACAGCCCTCCCACCCCCCATCTTATATTCTTAATTTTATATTAAGTCTTAATAGCTGCACAGGTGGGATAAGAGAAAATGACAAGGGAGATATATATATATAATCACAGGGATTATTTCTGAGGGGCCTCTCCTGTACAGTCAGAAGCACAACAGAACTACTTAACTCCACAGGGGGCTGCAAACTGCATTTATTTACAGGAGTTAGTGGGGGCTGTCCTGGGAAATTTGCAGAAGAGTGAGAATGAGCAAGAGCTTAACCTCAAAGATGTTGCTCTGCTGAACAAAATTAAGTGCAAGATCATGGATTAAGGCCTCTGGTATCATCTGTGGCAAAGATGATTTTACACTTCATAAAATTGCAAAATGATAAATGAGGGTTTTATTTCAGCACTGTAAAATTGTAGGCACAGTGCTTTACATGAAATGAAATACAGAATTTATTACAATATATCTGGGTCTTTTTGTGTTTGCAAAGGAAATACCTATACGCTTCTATTTCACTGCTTATAATATTCTACCTATGAGTATTAAAAAAATTATACATAGTAAGAATAATAATTTCAAACAGAACTCATTGCTACTATGAGCCGGAGTTTATTTAAATGACTTACTCAGTTTCTAAGGAGAAAATCTTTGCTTGGAGATGTGCCCGAGTGCTGCTGAAATCAGATAGTATGTTTTCGATTTCCTTCCGATGATCTTGTTTCAGTATGTGCAGTTCTTCTTTATGTTTGATATTGAGGTCTTCTACCAGTAGCCTTTCATTGGTATTAAAATATGCCTGAATTCTCACGTTTCAATACTAGTTTATTATCATTGATCTAAGCATGCAGTATTGAGGCCTTTTATCGACTACAAAGGTTGTTAACTGGGCACAGCTCTGGGCTTCTGCTTACTGATTTGACTTTGACACTTCAGCTGCAATCTGAAGCAGAACCACACTAACACTGAGGAAGAGGAAAATTATTTTAAGACCTTCAGCCTTCAGGAAATGGAGGGTCTGTTCTATATAATGATGCTATTGATATTCTGTCTATTGCTAGTTTGTACATCAATCTTAATCGTCAGACATGACAATAAAGTACCATAGGAACTCACTCACATGAAGCAAAATTATTTTGAAATCTTGGGGATTTTAACATGAGGCTCTGATGCTATATTTCATCACATCATGGCACCAGAAACATTTAATACTGCCTACCACCATCCTAAAAATAAATTTTTTAAAAAGCGAAGGTAAGAAACATTATAACAGTGTCTTTAACTACAACACTTGTCTTTAACAGACAATATATTTTGAAAGATACTACTATTTGATTAACACCATCAATTGAAAACTAAAAAATGCCTAACATTTTTTCAAGCCTAGCATTAACATTACTTTCTGATACCAACCCCAATAGACATCTATCAAAGAATCTATCAAAGAATTATCGTTAGCTTCTTCTTGCCTCATTTGCTAACGCTTTGTTAAACCTTGGAGAAACTTTTTCATTAACTCAATGCAGAGACCATATTCTTCTGTTGTTTACTGACTAAAATAGAGATGTCAAACTCAGGAGATTAACAATTGTAATTTTCACAGTAGATATTCAATTAGCCTTTTTTTTTTTTTTTTTTTTTTTAATGTATTTCTAAACCGCTTTCACTTGTTTCTGAAATGCTTCAGGAAAGGCCAAAAGGCCCATGAAAGGTTTCTGCCCTTGAAATTAGAGCACAGCCATGGGAGTGATGGGTTTGGCACTTGGCACAAAATAAGAAGCAGAAGAATAGGAGTAAAAATGGGAACAGAATCCCTGAAATGGACCTTCAGTGGTAGAATAAAATCTCTCCTTGAGAACAGTCATTTTGGGACCTGCCCTCTCTTCCCATAAAAAACCTTTCTCTGCTCTCATCCTAGCCCTTGCAGAAGATTTCTGTACTGGAGGTGGAATTCACACAATTCATGAGAATGGAAATGGAAATTATTACTTCAAGCAGATTACTGGTTTCACTTACTTGGCAACAGTAGGAATAGTAATTTTAAATAATTGGTTATAAAAATTTGGCACATGCAAATAACAAGCTACTATCAGCTTTCAAATCAGAAAAAAAAAATACAGCATCAGACAAGGTCACTGTTTTTGAAGTAACAGTAAAAAAGCTGTTATGTATATACACTCACCAATTTAACTATTCCCCTACCCAAATTACTGGTTTTGAAAAAGCAAAATAAGAGTTGCAAATTAATGTTCTGGATCTTCCACGGGTTAATTTCAGAGCAGCTTGTATCAGGTGCGTAGGACCATTTGCGCTCTTTGGTTCTACCTCCTGTTATTTGAAGGATTTCTCCTAACATAATTTCCATTAATGCTTCCTGTAGTAGAGCTACACCGTCTATTCCCTATAAAGATTATCCTCCAGTCCAGCAGCTTTAGCATTTGAGGCCTTTTAGACCTCATCACTGACATGTGAATAATTCTTCTCTTCATGAACAGAGGCTCTAAATTCCTTTAAGGTAACTGGAGGGCACTGATGAAACTCTGGTTTGCAATTCTTTCTGTTGATCTTGCTTCAAAGGCTTGAAATGAAAGTCACTTTCAAGTAACTCTCCAAAGAGTGTAAAATAAAAGTTTTGTTCTCATTCTTTAAATAGCTACTGACTGGTAGACAGCAAAAGAATTACTCTGGCCACTCTTGACAGTCTGCCAAGAGACACTGTATCCCTTGAGTGCTTTTCTATAGACTATACAGGACATAATTTTAAAGATTCCTCTAGGGGTATACTCTTCAGAACTCCTTTTATAGATACAGCTTTGAGTAGTTGGGGGCATACATTCTACACCATCGCAGAAATGAACTGTAAGGTAGCCATGCACCAGAGCCCTCAATCTCTCCACAAAGAATGTTAGGTATGCTCATCCAGAAATTTAAAAGGATTCACCAGCCATACAAATGCACTGGACAGTGATCCCCAGTCATGTCTCCCATATAAAAGGTAAGTCCTGCACTTTTTCTGTACGCAGATGGGAAGACTGCTATTACTGCAGTGCAACGTGTGCTCCAAGCCTGTGGCTACGCTAGGAGGATGCAGTGCACCTTCTACAAAGACAGCCAGGACTACAGGTCAGCTTGCCCTTCCTGTGCCCTGAGAACACATTACAGCTCCAGACTTCCATCAGCCCAGAGGCACTGTCAGTGTCCACTATCACTGCCCTTACTCCCCCAGTGCAAAGCTAAAGCAAAGCCTTACAGAGTGCATATGGCATTCTCGGTGTCCCCTTTCGAGTTAACCCATTGGTTTCAGCTAGAGAGTATGTATAAAAAACTGGTATTTATTCTCAAAGACTTCTGCAATTTTTTAATAGTTCTTGGGTGAGTTTGGGATTTGTTTATGTCTTCAGTGCCTTGCAAAGGCTGACGTTACACAGATTTTCTCAGGTCACTGCTGTGGGGCTACAGTGGACATATTTCTCTGTGATGTACAATGAACAATTTGTTCAAATGCTTTTATTATGGCTAGAGAGAAATGTGACATGAACTACTGCTTTTGCAAAACTCCTAAACTCTAAAATTAGTACTTTATACAGGGAGAGATTCTCACACTTATCACATTTAGAACACCTGTGATGCTAGCATTATTATTGACTCTCTAGAAATCAATGTAAAGCATGAATTCAAGGCTAACCTTCTGTGCTGTTTCTCCCTATCTTGAAGCTGTGCAGCTTCTTGCCTCTGTGACTCCAACTCAACACTGAGTAGCTCCATTGTGTCCTTCAAAAGTAAATTCTCTTTCTTGAGTGCAGAAATTTCAGTCTGACATTTTTCCAGTTCATCATGAAGAGATCTGATCTGGCTCTGGCTACTTCCTTCCTAAGAAAAAGACCAAATTTAGTTATTCACACTCTAATTATTTAATGCAAAGAGCTCACTGGAATTGTGTGCACTGAATTTTTGTGAACTGATTTTTCAATTATATGTGCAATTCTATGTGCAAGACAAAGTCTGTGATCAAAACCTCCTGAACATATTTTACAGCTCTCATAAAATTTCTTTCATTGTAACGTTCATTTATTTATTTCTGTTGTAGATTCTGACCTTTAAATGGAAAAAAGCCTGCCCATTGGGAAAAGATTATAAACAACACTAACATTTTAAAGGGTAACATATGGGAAGGAAACCCATTCCATTTCTGTAAGGGATTCTGTATACTTCCATTATCTCTGGAGGGAGAAATTTGATACTACTCCTTTTGCAAAATGTGACATGGCAATGAAGCAGTAACTGGATTCTTGCCTGTTGCTTCTTCAGTGTCCTCACACTCCTCAGCTCCATCTGGAGTTCTTCTATTTGTTTCTTGAGATTAGTGCACGACATCTGTTGCTCAGAGAGTTCCATCCTTAGAGATCCTAGTAACAATCAGACAGACAATCACTGAGGCAGTCAGAGGCCAGCTGCATGAAGGTAGACATAGGCAATGTAGACAAAAACATAAATACATTACATTTTGGTTTGTTTCTCAACTCCTTTGCCCTTAAGTATAATGGCCTCCTATTACTAGAGAAGTAACTCAGTTGAGCAATAGTAAGAAGATATGTAGCTACAATAGCAATGACTCAACACTGGAATCAGAGAGGTAATTCTGTGGCAGTTGTTTGGCAGACTAAATCACTGTAATTGCTTCTTCTAACCTTGGACTTTACTGGAGCACCCCTGAGCTTCCCTGTTAAGTCTACTGGTGTTGTATAGAGGGCCATAAGGCAGACTAAGGAGAGCTCTGGTTGTGTTAGAGAAGTACAACATTTATGTAAGCAGATCTGTCATACATTGCAACTTTTGTCTATTTTGGGTACAAGTTTCAGGATGGATCAAGTACAAGGAGAAATAAATTTTTCTGTCTTGTTTCCCTACAATTTTTCTTGAAAAATAACAGAATTTATCTATTGAACAAACAAACTTTAGAGAGTAACAAGTCCTTCTAGCATATTTCCATTACTGAAAAAAACCCCAAGAATACAGTTTGTACTTAAAGTACTTTCAAATTATTCTTTCTTTAACTAAAAAACCTTTTATAGATGAGCTTTAATGACCTGAGTTCAAACCCAGAGATATTACAGGTCCTTCTAATGCAATGTTCCGTTTAGTTCTGAAGAGTTTAGGAAACTTTCTAAACTGACCAAACAATACATATGGGGCAACTGATCTCCACTGCTGTACTCAATAGAAAAGACTTGAACCACATATACTAATTCTTCACATCATATTAAAAAAAAAAAAAAAAAACCCTCATATACACTAACTACAGTATTTCAATTTAATATACTTGGTAATGCATACTTGAATGTTGTACGCCAGACTACTCTCCCAGCAACATTCTGCTGTTGACAGTTGAGAGCTAGGTTAGCAAAGAATATTAAGTCTGTATTACTGAAATTGCAGGGTATTGAAACAGAGATTCACAAAGACCTGAGTTCCCAGAAGATGGGAAAGAAGATGAATGGGAGGAAAGTCAGCACTTTTCAGCATATAATCAAGCAGTATGAGCTGTGCATGACATGAGACGTACCTAGCACCAGGGTTTGCTGCTTCTGTATCTGCTCAAGTTCATCATGTAATTCTTTCTTTGCTTTCTCTTCCAAGGTTTGTATTTCCAGCCTATGAGACTGATGTTGGATCTTGAAAGTCTCATTAAATTCCTTTTTCAAACGTTCTTCTGTCTCCTGTATGCAAAAGCCCCCCCCAAAAAAAACAAACCAAACCAAACCAAATAAAACAAAGTAGTTGGAGCCTATCACCTTGTTGTTATACTTGTAATGCTTGAATGAATCTGGTCTTTCATAGTAGAACTTTTATTTTCATCACCACTTTACATGACACTTTATCAATGCAAGAATAAAAATGAGCTGAAGTTAAAAAATAAGACTTATTAGGGACACAAGAAATTATCAAGATATCATCTATTAGGTTTGTTGTACATCATGAAATAATAACAGAAATCTTTGCACTGTCTGACATTAGAAAGATGTTTTATTATTCAACCTAAAAAGCCCCCCAGATTTGACCTCTATGTCATTACTTATCACAGTGTGTCAGACAAAGGCTTCTATCTTTCCTTGTATTGTTCTTGGCTAAAACTTCCACTGTCATTGTAAGTGCTGCTGATGATACACTGTAAATGACAGAGCAGTTGTTCTGTAGTGGCTCTGAAAGCAAACTCCTACCCTCAGTTTAATTTTTACCAGCTTACTGCCTTCAGCTTGGTTTTGTTAAAGCTGGGATTTTATTCTGAATATATAAAAAAGCTATTAAATTCTACTTAGAGTGGTTTTACTACATATGTTTTATAAACAGGTTTTCCCTAAGGTTTGCAATATCAACAGGGATATGTGAACCCCATGTCACAATCACATGTACATTTTTAAAGTTGGTTTTTTTTTTTTCCTCAAACAGCAACATCCTTCAGAACGTCAATATATTGCATTAACATTTTGTCACTGAAATAAATCTTCTTGCACACTTAGAAGCTTTGGTTATCTACTTACAGAATTGATTTCTCGAAGGTATCTAAGGCAATACACATCTTTATACATGTCTATTATATTCTTTTAAAGTATTTATGTATAAATTAATAATGGATGAAAAAGAATAGAACTGAGTCCTGTTAATAATACACTTAGGAATTCCCTTGTATTTCTGAAGCAAGAGCACAGCTAGAGGAGCTTGTATTCATCGCAGCCTAACTGAACAGGGTAGGCTATATTATTTTATGAAACCATCTTATTCACGTGTGGTGTAAGTTCAAATGTTAAAATCATAAAAAAAAAAAAAAAAAAAACAAAAACAAAAACAACCTGAAGATGATGAGGTTTCAAAACAACAGAATAATTCATTATGTGCAACAATGACAACCCATCATTAAGATAACTCGAGGTAAACCGAGTTTTGATAATTGGCTCTGGCTAATATGGTTTATCCCACAAATACTTTTTTTTTTTTTTTACACTAGTATGTCATAAACTAACCTTGAGTTCCTGATTTTTGCTTTTCTCCAACATTTTTAAGACTTTATGATGTGATGCCTCCAGCTGCAGTTTAACATTCTGGTTTTCTTTAATGGTGTTTTGGAGATCCTGCAAAAGCTTCTCTTTTTCTTTGTTTGACTGTAGATTATGTTTCTTCAGTGACTCCTTGAAATTATTTGCTTGTTGATCTAATGTTTGCTTCAGCTGATCCACCTTCCAGTAAAGTAAGTAAGCATAACAGGATTAATGGTTGCATTCACAATGGAGAGGAATTATGTAAATGTGAGTACGTTTTATGAACTCGTGTTGGTCTATGAAAAATAGCAAGATGCTTGTTTCATGCAAGGAGCCCTTTTTTCAATGAAGAATGACATCCCTTTTGCATATACTGTCTACTGCCCATCAAGTACTTTTCTTAAATTATTTCTTTTCAAATAGTCTCCATCTCATACGTACAATCCATAGCTCAACTTGCACAATAATTATGTCACAAACAAGGAGGCAGGCCTGAGGCTGTGCTTATTGTCATCCTGGAGATGTAACCCTGCAGAGTCTATTTATATAAAGCAGTAGATTAGAACCAATGGAAACAAGAATTCTGCACATTGTGCTTCAGATTTATTTTCTCCCCTTTCTTAGCTTAATTACTAAATACAAGACACATGTCTATAATGGCTGAAACAAAAGTAACAAAAAAATACCACCCACAAATTGGATATGATACAGATTATAACCTGTGACTTTTGCAGGTGTGGAATTCTGTTTCGCTAAGGCTGGAAAGTACAAGTATATTAAAACTGGAAGACAGACCATCCTCTTTCACATATTCCCCAAAAGAAAAGGCAAGAGACATAAAGGCTTTGCAGGAGGCATGGCAAAGCAAAAGAGACTTGGAAGTCAGATAGAGCAGTCAGGCCAGTTAGCATTTTTGCTGCTCCCTCTCTGACTTCCAAGTCAGTTTTTTTTGCTCTGCCATGCAGTTTTAATATACTTGTACTTTCCAGCCTTAGCAAAACACAGTTCCAACTGTGAAAGGAAGAAGTTGTCGTCCTAAGAATATAATGTGACTTTAAGTGATTCAAATGATGTTACGCACACCTGCAGTTTGTTAGTTGAAGAAGCACTGCAGCTTTAGCTAGCTAAATAATTGCTTGTAACTTCAGCTGTATACTTGTGGTCCTTTCTGATGAAGTACCACAAAAGCTGGATGAAGATTTACTAAGTGGGATAAGATGTTTATATACTTCCTCATTTCATTCTCATAGCACTGTTCTGGTATATTTTGTGTTACAGAAGAGAAAAGGAGCCATGCCATGCAAAGCACTTACTTCTTAACTTCATGGCCACAGTCAGCATTGCACTGTCCAAAGGGAGATACTAATGAGCTATGCCAGATCTCTCCACATCACAGGAATCTTTTCTGATGAGGGCTAAATAAATGTACTCCTGATAGCTCATGGATCTGCTCTTTCTCACATTGGTTAAGTGTGCTGGCTCCTCTCCTCCAAAGGATGAGTTCTCTCCTTTCCCTCTCCTAAGGCTCCTCTCCATTCCCAGATGGATCACAGCCCTTATTCAAGTATTCGCTAAGCCTCTACTATTCTTACAGTTTCCTGGCACAGAACTGTACTTTGAAGACTCAAAATGCTGCAAAACTCAGAGCTTGTATCAGTTCCCAGGGTTTGAACTCCTTTTGGAAAAAGACATTCTGTACTCCCACTTTATGACCACAATTTTCAACTGTATTATACCTTGATTTGTCTTCACTTCTAGTCCAGATTTCTGCTTTTACCATTTCCTGGCATCTACTCCCTTCTCTACAGAATTTATACAAGATTTTATGTCCCAGAAATGAATCCTGATATTAAAAAAGAAAAATGAATGTGAACCTTTTTTTTTTGGAAACACCCACAGCTTGGGAAGAATTATTTCTACTTGATCAATTTGTCCTACTTTAACTGTTTTTTCTTCAGAACAACCAAATAAGGGCCTGAAAACTTTGTAAAAACTTGGTCTATGTGGTCTGCTAGTTTATAATTTTGAGTACAAAGTTTGCATACAGAGAATATCAGTTGACAATTAGTGATTTCTATGTAAGCACAATTCATGTGAAATACGAATATTCATGGACTTCATGTGCTGTGGAGATAACTCAAAACCTGTTACCTGAACACACACGTGTCTCATGAGAACTACATAACTTCCTTTACTAAATCTGTTTTCTGTACCTCTGTGAGCAGCTACAAGAAAGAATTACTGTTCCATTTTTGAGTAGGTTTATGGCTGCAGAACTGTTGTTCCTATACACAAGTCAGTATACTGTGTTCCTTCCATTTAAATAGAGTTTGTCCTTCACTTCAAATCCACAAGCCAGGTTCCTTTTCTCCAATTAATTGGTGGTGGTGGTGATTATTGATCATCACTGATGTTGTACTTCAGTTTCCCTCTGAAGCCCTTCCAATGGTTTTCTCACAAAGGGTCATAGTACTATTATAATTAATGTGGATTTCCATTACCAGATGAGGTAGATACTTAGTTTATTATATCGGTTTATTACTGATGTTTCACATGTACTAAGATCTACAACAGTTTCTGTAATATAGGCATGACAGAAGTCTGCAAGCAGAGATGAATCTTGTTAAAAAACTCTTTACTAAAGCTACTCACTTGGGCAGATGACTTTCTCCTATTTTGTGGCCAAATCAATTGATCAATAAAACTTCTAGTCAAAGCAACCCAAATGAAATATTTTTCAATGTACATGTCAAACTGAAAAATGAAAATATTTCCTCCAGACTGAATTAAATGTTTTTAAAACTTAAATTATTCCATCAGTTGCCAGGAGACAAAGGGCTTTATTCACAGAACATGGGAAGAAGATATGGCAATGGTGGTTCAGTTTTGTGTGTGTAAGAGAAAGGAAGTATGGAGGCACAGAAAAGCCAAGAGAGTGAGAGAGTACGTGCGTGTGCATATGAAGGTAACTAGGACATTTACCCAAGTGATGAAGGCCTAGGTTGTCCACTGACAACTTAATATACCAGTGAAAAAGTGTCAACAGGTGACATACTGTTGCTCACCCTGTTTTATCCTATAAACCAATGACAAAGGAACTTTTTAAATGGTGAGAAAGCTGACAGAAGAAATAAAAATACAAGCACATCACGGTGTATGCTTGGTTGGTAGATAAGAAGAAAACAAACATTCCTTCATCCAGTGTTTTGTGAATCAGGTTTTTTATTTTGTTCCTTTTAAGTGCCAGAAAATAAAAGATTAGTTTTACCACTTCTTAAACAATTTCAAACCAACATGGCACATTTGAATTTCACTGAAGCTATCCAACCAAGTTGATCTGAGTTAGCAAATTTGAAAGAACACTTAGATTCAGCTGCCCCAAACTGTGAGTTTAAGTTAAATAATCATCCAGTCGTTTCTTGGCTTTTTCTTCTGTGTCATCCAATTAAACACAGAGAAAATTATCTGTCTGAACAAACTAGTGAAGAATAATTGCTAAATGTTATTCTTAATGAAAAACACTAATTATCTTTAATGTGTCTGTGTGATGGGAACTATCTGTGGCCTGGATACACTCCAAGAACAGTCAGATGCCAGAGCCACTTGCCAACCATACCTTTGTTTCCAGAGCTGCTCCATTTTTTTTATTCTTTAAGAAATAAGTGGTAAATCATAAGATTTAACTAAATGGGCACTTTGGCTTCTGGTTACAGGTAAAACATTTACTTTGTCTTAATGCCTATTGAACTCAAGCCAATGTTTCCCTATATTAAAAAAGGAAACACTGAAGTTTTTAAGTACTGAGGTTCCTTATAAAACTAACCTTTGATGTGAAACACGTAATGCTGTACAGTCCCCTATATCAGCTGATATAATATGCATCAGAATTACTACACTCAAGCATAATCTTTTTTTTCTTTTTCTGGGCTTCCTGAAAGTAAGCCAGTGAGTGCCAGAAGAGTAGGCTGTGTATTTTCTAATAGTAAAATTGGAAACAGGAAAAATGTTGCTTGGAATATTTCTTTTGTAAATTAAGTATTCATCTAGATGGGGAAGATGAAGAGAAGCTTATATAAACTTCAGGTATGGTCACAACGTTACTAACCTTCCAGACTCTCTTCATAGGCAATTATTGGTTCAAAGCAATACTAGCATGAAACATAAGATCATACTAACTAGAAATAGGCTAAGCACTAAATTGGTAGCAACAGAAAACATAATGTAGTAATAAACCATATGGAAAAGTATTTCTAAAAATATTATTTTTCAGTAATTTAGGGAAAAATACCTACACAAATACATCAGGAATACAAACATACTCTTTCTCATTAATCCTGCTACTTCTAACATATTAGAGGTTAAGAAACAACCATTTCCATCCCATCAGGTTTCCTCCTACTGTCTTTCAGGTAAAGGAGGCTTCAAATCCACCAGCGCAAATCCTCCTCTGGAATATTTTGCAGTGCCCAGGCTTTTATTGTGTTTCATTACTTCAAAACAGATAGCCAGACCCTCAGTTTGTAAAATTAGTAAAGTAACATTTAAGCCAATGAAACTATACCAACTCACATCAGTCCAGAATCTATCTGGCTCCTTTTACTATTAATAGACCAGCAACATTGTTTTATATCTTTCTGCTGCAAAACAAAACCTCTTGAAAAAAAAATGTATCTCTAATACCATTATTTATTAACTTTTATCTACCAGAATTGCATAAAGTGGTCTTAAAGATGCAACTAATAGCTATCCATAGCATAAACTCTAGGAAACTATTTTTTTCTAGGCTCTGATGAATTCTTTTCAAATTTCAGGGTTATGTTTGCACTTGCCCTTTCTTATGACAGCTGATTTTGCCTCCCACTGTCTTACAAGTAAAGAAAAAATGAACAACTATTACTGAAAGATGACAGATAAGTTTTGAAATATTGCAAAAGTCTTTCAACTTCCATTCTTTTCTAACCATAATTACTGTCCTCCTCCTGGGACAATGGCTTGATTCTTTTGAAGAAGTACCTCTCAGACTTTGATAGCCTATGAGCAAAAATACTGGGCAAGTACAAGGCCTTGCATGCCATCACAGCTGGCTCCCCCAATTTGACTTCTGCTTTGATTATTTTAATTCACTGTGCTTGCAAGCACTACTTGAAGTCTATCTTATGTCTGTTCTCCCTTTCTTTTATTTATTGTATGCAAGAAGTGTGAAATCTCAAAGGCAAGATCTAAAGTTGTTATTATAGAGAATATTTTGAATTCCTGTATCTTTTAAGTAGAAAGATCCCAGTTTCTCTACGCAGTGCTAGGGGATGAATTTATATAAAATGCTTAAAGCTGCCTTTTGATGTATTATACAAGAATCACCACAATTGAGAATTTGTTCAGAGAGTTAAAATAAGGCACTCAAATGCTACAGGGTTTTACTCATACTATGATGTTATTACACCAAAACATGGTGTAAGAAGTAACATCAAAATAACGAAGTTATGTTTTACTGTTGTCTTTAGGCTTATTTTACAGTTACTTCAGTTAAGTTCACAGTTAACTGCCTTCCTAAATTTAAGGCAATGTTTCTCCTGACTGGAGAAACAGGTATGAACACACTAGGCACATCTCTACTGCTGCTATTTGGTGGTACCTACAAGATCTCTGTCGAGGCTTTAGGCTTTGCTGTGCTAGCATTGTTCAAAGATATATCATGATGAGGTGATGCCTGCACTTGTCCCTTTAACATATGTTGAATCAAGGAGCTGGATGACAACTAATGAATTAGAATTCAGCTGACACAGAATCTCGCATCCTCCTTTCCAAAGGACCAAACAGGCATGAATCTGATGTTTTGATCCAGAAAAACTTGGTAATACAGAAATATGGCCACTTTGAAGTGCATCCCCAGAGAGATTAAATTATCATGATTCTGTCTACTGTGCATAGTGTTCTAGCTATGTCAGCCCAACCAAAAATGTGCTTTATGCAACCAAGGAAACTATATTTAGATCTGAAATTGTATCCAGGTTAGAACTGGATTAGTAACAGCACATTGCCTAACCTCTGAGGTGGAAGCTCTGGGCTGAGCCTTTGCAAAGGTTCCCAGATGGAAATCATGCCCTCAGTGAAACATATAATGTTGTGTAGTAAATGGTGGTTTCTTGGATGTGAATATTCACATATCTATAGAAGGGAAGTACTGTAAGCTGAAATTACTTCAGCTCCCTGGCAATACTGCCAAGTGATTGGTTCAGAAAGTAACTTACAGAGTACCAAGAAAATGCAAAATTTCTCTTCAGAGGGAACATTTCTGCCCTTTTGGGAGCATTGTTAGATTCTAGGATATTTTTCTGTCCTGAATGTGTGACTTCAATAAAAGTAATTTGATGACTCACTGCCTCACTTTTTCCATCTGCAAAACCCGAACAATAATTGCATCTTGTCATAAGCCTTTTGACTTTTTTGAGACCTTTCAATGGAATACACCACCTGCATGCATGTACACAATACTACGGGATCAGTGTGCCACTACTCTCCCTTCCATCTCTTCCCCTCACACCTCAAAGCAGTATAACTTTCAGACATTACCCAGGGATGCCAAAATATCATGGTCATTTTTCAGCTTTGAGTGGACTAAGATATTTTTGTAGAAATAGGTACATTTAGGGGAATTTGAAAAAGAATAAAGATGACTGATTTCTGAGAACCCATGTTTTGCATTAGGTGCAAAGAAGTCACTGTAGATAGGTCAACACTGGTTGGATTGACCTGAAATTCTCTCAGAGAAGTACCTGTAGGAAACAGCGGCATGCAGAAAGGTGTAATGAAACCTAAACCCAGGATTTAAAAAGAACTTTATGAACATTAAGAACTACATTTAGATTCTCCGTTCCTAAGACTGGGAAATTGATAAAATGTCAGAACCCAACTGCGATACTAGAATGTAAAAATCTGTTTTACAGAGAATTTAAAGGGAAAAGACCATGCTGCACTCAGAACTATTACTGCTAGTACAGCACAAATGGGAGAAAAAGCAGGTGTTACAGGGTAAATGACCACAACACATGCCCTGATTGCCGGAACATGCTGCACCAAGCAGGAGTAATGGCATGTGGGAAAGTGGAAGTGGGTAGGGGAGCAGGGGCAATATCTTGCTGAGCCCCCTGATGAGCCTATCTGTCCTGCTTCTGTCTTCACTCAAAAAGAGCTTATGGCTACTCAGATGGCAAAAATGCCAGCTGAGAAAGATCTAGTTCTTCAACTTTTGTGGAGCTGTTCCCATGCAAGCTCCCACTCTATGAAAGTGAAACTGGTTAAAAACTGTGACAATATAAAGCAATGGAAATTGTAGATAGCCACTTAGAACAACAGTGCCTATCTGTAATTCAGTAGTTCCACAATGTGAGCTACCTAATTCTGGTTGTTCATTTCTTTTTCTTGAATTAGACTTAAGAAATTTTGTATATTTGGGAATATCCTCATTTTGCTTAATAAAATCTTGGAACCTCAAAACCTGGATTGGCAGGAAAAAAACAAGAAATGGATGGCAAATTCATGTGAAAACATGTCAATTCACCTATAATCTCCCAGAGTGGACACTCACAAATCTTTTCATTGTTCTTCTGAAAAAGGTACTGAATGCAATGATATACTTGAGGTAGAAAAACAAACGCAGCACTGAGCATTATCAGAACTTTTCACTAGGACTCTGATTACAGTTCTGTTAAAGCAGTTAGTTAATAGTTTATGCAATAAATAAAAGTATCAAAATGTTCAAAGGTGAAAATTTCACATAATCACACTAAAGAAAATGAAATAATCTGAATGTAACCTTTTAAAGCAGATAGCATCTCCCAAAAAGAACTGCACCACACAAAAGGGGAAAACCTGAGTGGGAGAAAACGTGTGTTCACAGTTGGCAGAAATGTTAAAGGTGAAGTGTTTAACGGGATAAGTAATTGCCTTGTAGGGGTTCTGCTTTTGTTTTGGCAGAAAATTATTTATCCAACTTGTTATGGCTTTTCACATGACACTTCCTGTATAAATATTTTGGTTGATGTACTAATCTGGAAAATTTGTATTACTTGGTCTGCAAAATCTAATCAAGAATATCCCAGAAGAGAGGAAAAATGAAGGTCTCTTTTATTACTGGGTTACAGTTATGCCCAGTTTACCTCAAGTGAAGAGTTTTGAAGTTTCCCAGTTAGGACTTCTTTCTCTTTCTCTAGTTGCTTCAGTTCAAACTCAGATTTTCTTTTGAATTCCTCTAGCTGTGTCTGAAGGTCCTAAAATGTAAAATAAATAAATAAATAAGCATGCAATAGCTGAGACAAAACATGCAGCATGAAAAAGAAAGAACATTTCATCTACATTAACGTAGACAATAGAGCAGTTTACACAGTAATACATGCTACTGTATTTTAATGTCACTCATGGATTATTCAATCAAAGAAGTATTAACAGTTTGGTTTGGTTCTTTCTAATATTAGTGTTAGATAATAGAGCTCACATAATCCTAACCTTGTGCTGAAAGCTTCTCTGAGGTGGAAAACCATACAGCATTAGGAACTAGACTGTTTTGCCTTAAGTGGTGTTAGTGTTCAAAAATAATTTAGTATGTAAGAGTCACCCACAAGATCTGAAAAAACATAAATATACATGGACCATATAAATAACCAGATGACTAACTAATGGGCAATTAGTTGAAAATGGAATCAAAGGAAGCACTATCTTATAGCATCCATAAAGAAAACCCCAGTGAGGAAGCAAAAATAAAATAAAATAAATAAATGAAGACTATATTATCACCTTATTGCTGGAAATAGTTTTTGAAAAATCAGTGATAGTACCACATGCAAGACAGTGAAGAGCTTGTAGCAAATGTGAGCAATTGTTTACTGTAGAAAGACTGAGTGAGCAACTTCTAGAAATGTCCGGAAGTAATATATATTACAAGCTTATTAGTGTGCTTGCTCTTCCTCTTTGTGCCAGTTTGCTGACTCAAAAATATTCTACCATATTTTCAGACACCACAAATGGAGGAAACAGATTAAACACAGCAATTTAACACCTCCCCCATCATGTACAGCCCCTTCTCACAGCCTCCCCACCCCCATTTTTACAGCACAATGACTTAAAGAATTCAAGATAACAGTAAAATTACCTAAAACCTAAGAAAGTGATAATAATTAGGAGGATGGCATGATCTTAGGAAACAGAAGCACAGGCAATAGTGAGGTATTCCTTGCAACTCATAATTAAGTAAAGGAGAATACATTAGCATTTCACAGTTTAAAAACCAGATAAATGTTAGGCAGCAATTAAAGGATGGAATCAAACACAGAGACATTAATTTTGCAAGTGAGAAATTAGATTCAGGTTTGCCTGTAAGAAAAGAAGACAATATAATGGGCTTTTTGGTTAAAGCTGAAGTGTCTGCATCACTCCCACTGCAACTCTGCCAACTTCCTTCTCAATATCTTAATTTTTCTATCTGGAAAATAGATCTCAAATAGTTCCCAAACAGATGATATAGGCCTTAATTGCATCAGAGGATATAAATAGCATGAGTAATGAAAAATACTGTAATTTTAATTAAGTTTTACTAACTCAAGATTTTTCCACTAACTTTTTTTACTAGCTCTACTATTTTTTTTACTAGTTCAACCACTTTTCTGATTTAATTAATATGAATCTCTAAGAAGAGGTGGTTATAAGCAATAATATTTATCGCCTATAAGCAATTAATGCCTATTATTATGCCTTTTTTACTAAAGTGTTTGATATTTAAGCTTGATCTGACTCACAGGCAGAGCTTCAGCCTGGCATCATTTTAAGTATACCTGTACAAACTTATTCACATAAAAGAATACACTATATAAAAAGCAAAGTCCTTTTCATAAGGCTTATGTTTGATAATGTAACTGCGTACCATGAAGAACTGCATCTTCAGATACTGATCAAACATGAGCACTTCCACAATTAGATAAAATAATTTACTCACACAGGTTCTTTTTTGAGAAATGAGATTCCATATATGTATAAACTTCAGCAGTTTCATAGGGAGAAATTAATTCTTCTGATGAGCACTTAACACAATTCCTAGTCTCCAAAATCTAGAAGGTACTATGAAGCTCAACATTTGGTGATAGAAGCTGCATGCTTTCTATGACCTCAAAACTTGTCAACCAGCAATTTTATTATTCTCAAGTAAATGTTGAACCCAGAAAGGTACAGCAGCATTAAAACTGGGAAAAATGGTAGCAGTATATTCTTAGCACCAAGAAGGGTCTAAAGAACACTTGTCCAGCAGTGTGATTGTCCAATTCTACAAATTGCTTTAATCAACTTTTCTTCTGTCTAGAAGATGTCTGACAAACACACACGTACATTCGGAGACAAAAACTAAATTCCTCCTTAATTTATTCCCAAATTTGTCAAACCACTTGGGCATGCACTTAGTTATAAGTTTCACTAAGCATTAAAGCATGTGCTTAAAACTAAATATGCATTTCAAGGTTTTCCTCCATCTGAATAAATTTCAGCTCACATTTAGGTTCCTACTGCACAGAAACATTACAGATTGCAAACTTCCCAGAGCCAAATGATCCAGCCACATACAGCAGTTATTGTAAAGTGAAATTCTTTGAAGAATCTCTTAAGCCAATTGCTAATGTATACCAGTAACAAAAATTACAGCTCAGCCACTTAAAACACGTTGAGAAAAGGTATTGCTTAGGCAACCTGTCTGGATCCATGAAAAGATGAGCATTTCTTCTGACTCACTTAAGTAACTTACTTAACTAAAGTTAAATAAGGACATATATGCGTGTATTTGTTTGTAACTAGTCATCATTTCATTGGTAACACCTGCACATTGAAATAATTTACCAACACTTTGCAGAATTATATCCTCTGCCTAAACAATGCAAAATTTTGATGAAATCAATGTATTTGAGTATTTCACAGCAGCAATACATGGAAATTTAAGTCAGAAATTGGAATACACCTAGAATACATTTTTCTTCAGGAGAGACCTTATATTAAACACTCCAACTGACACATGCAAAGCATGCAAGGATAAATGTTGCTAAGAAGGTAGTTTATCACATCAATGATAAATTCACCTTCCTGCCTGTGTAGCTTTTCACAGAAATACATCAGCTTGACTTTTTTTCCCTTTTTTTTTTTTTTTCAGTAAGATCATAGTGAGAAAATCCTTGCATTTTCTGTTAATTCAAAGTGCCTCCAGTAAGTATAATTCAAATGATGTCACTGTGACCAGTAAGATTAAAACCAGATGAATTAGTGCATCTATAAATAGAAGAACACTCTTACTACCTTCTGCATTTTTTTCTTTCAGATTCCATGATGTTTTAGACTGGCTTGATTTCCTTTGTATGCTTCATTACAAGATCTTCCAGCCTTTTTAATAGCTATTCCTTCAGATAAATCTCCTTACGGGACTGACGCTTGTCTTTACAAAGCAAGTTCTCTGTGTCTTTTATTCATCTGCTCTCTTTAAATAGCTACAGTTTCCATAGTCCATAAAACACAGTAGCTATATGACAAAACCAGGGTAGAATTCTGGGGTCACAGTAGTCTATTTTGTAGGGAATATGCTATTTAGGTGGCTATAGTCCATTGAAAAATACTGGTTTTATGTTAGTTAACAATGTAGAACTGTAGCCATTCAGGGCTGTGTGCTCCTTCTGCAGTCTAGGGATGGGGGGGTTTTTTGCTGTTCTGGTTTGAGTTTGGGTGTGTGACTCACTTCCAACCATGCAGGCTTCCTCAAAGACAACCTTAGTTCTGTGAAAAAGCACAAAGGACAATTTGGTTTTTGTTATGTTTCTGATGCTGGGTTGCTGGGTCTAATTTTCCAGAATGCTAGCATAACAGTATTCTAAGAGAACTAAAAATTATAGAAAAGATTTGGAGCTGGACAATTGTTTAAGGGGAGACACTGTACAGAGGAAACTCTCAGGATACATACTTTTCTCATACTGAGTTTATTCCTGATATTATTTCTGCATAGCTTTTCAGAAGAACTGTTTTCTAGATTTAAAAAAAAAAATGAGTATTCCAATTTGACCTCAACAGAGAAAGTCTGCCTTGGACCTTGTTCTCTTTAAGGTTTTGATTACAGAAGAAGTTGAACGCTCTGCCCTGGTCTAGCTCAAGGATGTCAGTAGTTTCTTTGCTGTCACTGCAGCAACTCATGTACTTTAGGTTATGAACACGAGCCAGTGTTCCACTGGATGAGGTCAGAGATCTGGGAATCTTGCAGGATTGACTGCTGTAGAATAACCTAAAAGCCAATAATCCTAAAATAAAAATTACATTGATTTCAGTACTTTTGGCATGCCGTGCTTTTGAATATTTGAGAGCAAACCACCTGTTTATGCTCTTGCACATCTTTAGAGCCACTTTTGTTCTGGCTCTGTTTGGCAGAAGTCATTTTCTGCAGCTGTGTTATTTGATGTTTCAGTTCATCTACTTTAATAGCTTTGCTTTGGGAATTCATTATAGTTTCCGTATCTTCTGTGGTATCAAAATTTACATTTCAAATAGCATAAATAACTTGTGGAATTTCCAATGTGAGTGACTACTAACAAGGGAAATACTTCAGAATTACATTAATGAGGATCTTACCTGCTTTTTGCAGGATTTCCTTCTCTTGAAGTGTATTTCTCTCTTTGACTACACTTAGATCTTCCTCCACTTTTTTTCACTATACCTTTTGATCCTAGAATTTCTTGTTGTGTTCCCTTAAGCTACATTTCCAAATCCTAAAATATACATGACATTACCTCTACATTTATTATATATGTCCTTTTTTTTTTCCATCTGAAATAAACGGTCAATTTCTCTCTTGGTGCAGTTCCATCATATAAATCTTTCACCTACAGAAATGGTTTAAATGCATTTTTTGCTGTTCCATATACTTAAACTGTCTCTGCTGCCAGAACATTTGTAATGTGAAGCTATTCCCTCAGATGTAGGCAGTATTGTAAAGTGAACACACATCTAGAGTTACCATCTAAAAGATGCCTGAGGTTATGAATGTTGAGTAAAACCTCATGGGTTAAAACTAACTTGTATTTATCACTCTCTGTAGTTGAAAACCTAAGGGTAAGCTTGCTCCTTTTACCTCTGGCATATGCCAAAATTCTTCTAAAACTAGACTGAACAGATGAGACTTAATGACTTGTCATCCTCTGTATTCTCTCTTCTGCAGTAATAATTATAAAAGTGCACTAATGTGACACCTTTCATCTAAAGGTCTCAAACTTCTTGGCATACACTAAGGAGAAAACAGAAACTTCATCTTGCTTAAACATCAGTCCTTTTATCTTTCATGCCTTATAATAACTTTTCTTGCTAGTATTTACTAATGATCAGAGGTATTTCTGATTAAAGAAATGCTTCTGTTTCCTAGTCTGCCATTGTCCACAGGATTCTGAAAAAAAAAAATGCAGTATTTAATGGTGGGAACAGAAATAGTCAATTTAGAAAGGAGAAACTTCTACGTTTTTATTTAAACTGGAAAGAAGCAGAAAATAACATTGTGTGTAACTGTTTTCCTTCTTCCAGATTTATCCTAGTCTGAGTCTATCTCTTTAAAGATTCAAGGCAATATGCTCCCGTGGTATGTAAATCAGCCTTATTCCATAGACTTAGAAGATCTGAAATGTACAAGCTGAGCACACGTTCCTGAGAAACTATTTCAGTTTTATCATGCTGATACTGAATTTAGAAATTAAATTGCTAATGACACCACCTTCTTAATTCCAGTTCCTATCACGTTTTACATTATTTATTCCTAAAAGACTGCATTTTTTATATGATAAATCAGAACAGTAAACCATGTACGTACATTTTCATGTCTCCATTCTTCATTTCTCCTGAATGTTACTTCAAGTACCCACACGAAATCAGGATCTTACTTTTCTTCTTCCTCTCTATCACTTTGAAACAGGTATTACACATTTCTCTGACTCAATTTAAAAAAATGGCTTATCTGCATCTCTATCATTCATTATATTCTCTCCACTTTTCTACAGAAGATAGAGATTGTACAGATCTACACACTGAGAGAATGGAGTCTGAATAATGCTGGGGAAGGTGTATTCAATTCACCCTTTGATCTTGTGAAACAAAAAGGCAGTGACTGTATTGAAGGCTGAACTCCCTCAAAGAACATTGTCAGAGAAGAGGCCCAGAACTCTTCACCATCAGCAAAATGATAATGACAGGCAGGATGCGAGGGCAAATGGTGAAATGGGTCAGAGTTGTCTTGAAGGAACACAGCTGACTGAGGTGACCCTGCTCTCTACAGGATTCTGGGGTCCTCTGACTCTAAAGGAGAGAAATCTTTCCCATCAGGAAACAATTACTGTTATTCTGAAATACTCCAAGTCTAAACCTTCAAGGTGTTTTCTTATCTAATATGCAAGATTGCTGTCATAGGGCCGGGGACAGGTCTGGTAGGTGAGTTTATATGATGGGAAGGACCAACAGTATTAGAAGGAAGTGGAACTGTTGAACACAGAGCGTGGCTGGGTGCTTTGGCTTCAGCACAGTTCATCAGTGTCTCCCCCACAGCCTGACCTTATGTACCAAATGCAGCTGGATGGCAGATTGCCTGTGATGTGCCAACCTCTGAAACTGCATCCGACGCATGATGCAACTAAGCAGAAAGGGGCTGCAGAGCTGTGCTGCATATGTACGAGATATGCACCAGCTAGGGTAGACAGGCAAAGGGCGAGGTGAGAACTCACAGTGAAAGTCTCATGGCTCAGCACGTAAAACTTCAGTTTTATGAACTTAACTTCATTAAATGTCACTTGGTACAAGCCCCTGTCACAAGAGTCATACAACACAAGGTGCTTGATTCCTAACCTGCCAGCTCAGGTCTCTTATCTAACCCTGTTCATATCCATACACTGAGCTGTTGGCAACCACAAGAGGAAAGGAGAATGTACTCTCTAAGTACTTACTGCTAGCATTGGCGCCTGCTCGCTGTTCACACTTCTGGGCAGGAAAGGTAAAGCTCTGTTCAGTCAACAGAAAAATTTTACATCACTCCTCCCTCAGCAAATACAAAGTCTAGTGTTCAAAGAGTTCTCCTAATGAGACCTCCTAATCATCTTAACTCTTTCTTTAAAACTCTCAGTACTATATCTCTCCTATTTCACTTCTAATCCTCTAAAACTGCTTTAGTGCTTACAAAGCATTTGACCCAATATGATATTTAAAAGACCTCTCCTCCCTCAAATTTTGAAGAACTGATAATTTTCACTTTTATAGTCAGAGATCACAGACTCATACTCTACCTGTATTCTCTCCTTCAGCTTCTGGGAATGCTTCTTCCTCTCATTTATTTTCTGGCTTTTTTCCTCTAGGTTTGCCTCCAGCTTCTTTACCTGCTGCAGCAAAAAACCCTCCTCAGCCTCTGAGCTCTTCCTTTGCTCCATTTCTCGTTGCTGACATTTCTTCCTTGTTTCTATTACAGATTGCTGCATAGCGTTTTTCAAATCCTCTTTTTCTCTCTCAGAAGAAGCTTGCAGTTTACTTGTTTTCTGAGTGTATTCTTCAGTTGCTCTCTGGTTCTCACTCTTCAGGTTTTCTATCTCATTTATTAGAGCTTGTCCTTTCACACTGTATTTTTCATCTATATTTAAAATTTTATCTAAATTTGCTCTCCTAGATGCTTTGCATTCATTTAACAGTCCATCAGATTCCTGATTTAAATGTAGAAGCTTGTTTTCAAAGTCTGCATTTGTATCTACCGTGTCTGTAGAAAGGACCATTTGTATTTGTTTTCCTTCTGTTCTCGGCTCCCTACCTTCCACCTGCTTCTTGCACAATGTTAACTCTGCCAAGGCTTCTTCCTTTAGCCTCTTGTGTTGTTCTACGGCAATTTCAAGGGCCTGAATATGTTTTCTCAGCAATTGTTCTTCTTCAACTTTGCTTTTACACTGGAGAATTGTTTCCCTTGTCTCAGCAAGAATGTGCTGAATTTCTTCTTCATGAGCCTCTCTCAGAGCTTTTATACTAGCCTCATGTTCATCATTCTTAGTGTTCAGGGCATATATCACCTACAGAACAAGAAAAGTAATAGAAAATTAAAGTATCTGGTAAATGATAGTCAGAAATTCAGTTACTATATTTATCAAGGTATTAAATGCTAAAAGAGAATTACTGCTGCAGTTTAATCTTTTTTTTCTTGTTGTTTCTTTGTGGTGGTGGTGGTTTTTTTTTTTTCTCTAGGAACAGAATAGACAATTACAAACTGCAAAACCTTATAGGGAAGGAAGACAATGCTGTGAGAAACAATATTTTTTTGTCAGAAATTTCCTTTTTTATTCTTGGCAAGTGGTCATTTCATGCCCCTAGTCTGATTTCTGATACAACGGATGGTATAGGGCCCCTTTTCTACCTAACTGACTCTGTATTTGTAGTCCAGTTCACCTAGCCTTCAGAGCAGGAGGACTACCTGCCTCATTGCCTTTAGCATTAGCAAGTGCTGGGGAGCAGCAATAGCAGATCTGTAGAGTGAAACCTGAACTCCTGACATCAAGGTCATGTGGGCCAAAATCATTCTGTGATGTAAATGATAGAAAAGTTTATAAGGAGGATTAAATTTTGCACTCCTGACTCAAACTAAAACACCACTAAAGATGCACTCCTGGAAGCCCCATGCCTGGTAAATTAGCTCAGTCACCATTTCAAGATAGGTATTACTTGACTGCAATCACCTTTTTGCTTGATTCTGAGAAGTGCTCAGGCAATGTTTTTTTTTCTTTCCCCACTTCAGAAACAGCTATCAATCTCAGAAATCAGATTTTAGCAGATTCAAGTGAGCCCCCGATGACAAAAAGCAATTTTTTCAAACAACTGATTTAAAACTTTTGACGTTTTATTTTCTTCTACAAAATGCAGAATAATAATTCTCATGACTATAAGACAAATAACTACCCCAAGCAGGCTTCGTTCATGACTCATGACATATACCAAGGACGTCTCACAGAAGCTGTTTCACAAACAAGCTACTATTGTTTTGAAAAGAAAATGCTATGAGAAAACCACAGTAGACTGAAATGAAGAATTCAGAGTCAAAACTAGTAAGTGTGCCTGTTAAGCTTACAAGACATTTATATATAAATGCAAAGCATAGTAACTGCCTGGAAAAGACACATGCTTGTTTTTTCAGGCCCCCATTTGGCCACATGGGGCCTAATGCAGTTTCTACTGGGCATGGCTATCTAACTCAAGGGGAACAACACAGTATGCATTGACGTATGTGTGGAGGTTTTCCACTTGTTTGGTTGGTTGTGGTTTTTTTTTTTTTTTTAGAGAGAACTTACTGCTCTACAAAACTAGGTTTGGAATCTGTATACAAGTTATGACCCATACTTTCAGTCTGGCCTGAGCCCACAGAGGTTAATCAAAAGATTCCTAGACAATGTTTGAGAAAATAACAGTCTTAAGTACATAAATATATACAGAAGCAAGGTCACAACTAATTCTTTAACTATACTAGAAATCTGCACCTGTAATCTTCAATATTTCCTCGGGGAAAGCCTCAATTGAGACACCAATAGGTGTCTTGACCACAATAAGTGTCACAAATCTGTAGTCTGTGTTTTATAAGCCCCGAGGATGTCTCCAGAATTACTGAATTTGCCTAGTTATGTATAATCATTCTTTGCGCTATCTGTATAACACTGAATTTCAGTCACCCATAAATGAAAGCAAACAAACAAATATATCTTGTGTGTAGTTAACTTCCTCCCTGGCAGTAATGAATTAAGTACAGAAATCTTCAGAAGTCACAAATGTAAAACATGGTCTAGATACATTTCTGGATAAATATGTGACAAGAGAGAGTAACAGCATCATATACCAGAAGACAAGCAGACAAGAAGCCATTGTGTACATTTAGATATACATATATTTTTGGCCCCTAAATTATATGTTGTTAATTCCTCTCTGTTATGTTTAACCATTTTTCCTTGAAACAGAAATAGCTGCAGGATACTGAGCAGGTCCCTTCTCCCCACTAACTAAAATTGTTCTATGAACCTCTCTTAACTGTTCAGGACATAAAAACTACATGGAGAAGATTAGTTTTGCTCATGCGTTTAGAATAACCAGTAGTTAGTTTTGGCAACTTCAGTTAAGTAGGTCAGATGTTGATGATCACATTTCTGTGTTTCATTCCACCTGCAATGCAGAGATGAACACACGGCCTTTGTGACTCAAAGACTTCCACTGTTAATCATGAATTTATCTAGTAAATCAGCACTGCCTGTCTCATATTATGTTGTGTTCAACCTGATGGTGGAATTTGGGTTCCTCTTAAGTCTGACTTAATCACAGAGATTTCCCAAATTCCACCGAGCAGTAGACCATCACCAACATCTTAAGTGAGTTATCTAAAAGAATGGAAGAAACTGGCCTCCCTGCTCTATCTATTATTCCAACACTTCTGTTCAATAGCGACTAGAATCACAATGAAGAATTTTGACTTGAAAATGCATGCCCTTAAATTTAATCTTCAAGCTTGAGTGCTGAAACTGATTCCTCAGTATCTTAACCTTCTTAAGAGATTTAATTTTTAGAGGGCAGCTTCTCTGTACTTTATGAAATTTAATCCCCTTACACATGCCTTTCACACCCTACCGAATATTGCTAGTATATTCCTATTCCAGATACCTCATTTAGGAGACTGGAGTTATGTGAGATGAAACTTTATGCACTGGAAGAAAAAACACTGAAAAATTATTTCAGCATCTGTACTTTGCAAGTGTACATACTGCTAGCTAATGTGGTATAAACCTCTTAACACTTGTGTTGATAAACAACTTTTTTAAAGCAGCTCTAAAATTGATCAGTTTGACAATACAGAATTGATTTCAAATTAAAGGAGTGCTACATTACTCTGAGTTACTAGCCAATGGCTACTGCCTCCTTACAGTTCTCCAAAACTGAATGTATTGAGAAACATTGCACTCATTTTACAGCAACTGAGATTTATATGACAGGTTGGTAGAAATGCTATTACACACATACACTTGAACATAAACAGTGCAGTGAATATGAATACATCTTATTAGTCCTATTTTATCCCCCAAATGCTGTAAATTTAAATCGCATTTACCTTCTCCTCTTTATGGTGATGTAAAATAACAAAAAGGAAAACATTCAACTGCACCTGATCATTGAAGACAAAACTAAAGCATTCAAACCAAAAAAGATTGTTCTGTCTTCCTACAGTAGTGTTAAACACTACTCTTGTAGGACCCTGACTATCATAATGAAAAGAATGGTTCTAGCTGGTTGCTTTACTAAATGAATAACAAGTTAGACAGTTTGGTATGGAAAGTGAGGAGTGAGGATTATAAGAATCAAAGAAAGGCAAAAGTTTGTAAGCATTCTTTCTTCAGGCCCAAATCCTTCCTGAGTGAGAAAGGGTTAAAAGGAGAAAAAAAAAAATAAAAAAAAAAAAAGGCAAGCACAAGAAAGAGAAAAGACCCTGGAGGGAGTTGCTCATCAGGGTACTCCCAGCTGCACCAGAAACAAAGCAGGGAAGTAGACAAGTTTCAATTGATAATTAGCTTGTAGAGGCTCACTGAGGCCAGGTGACCCATCACCTTCTTTTCACTAGTAGCAGTAGTATCTTATCTTCACCTGCAGGCGAATTTGGTTTTCTGTCTTGTCTACTTCCCTAGCAGACAAGAGCGGAGTGAGGTATCTAAACATGTTAGCCTTAAAAGGGTCTCTTTTAAAGCAAAGGACAGAGAAATTATTAAAAGTAAGTTCAGTTATTGAAAGAAATGGTTCTGTATCCCCTAGTCTCCTCTGTCACTGTAACTATACAGATTAGAAAGTAAAACCAACTCCCACAATTTACTAATTAATACTCTAGTAAGTACCTTTTGTTCTAACACTGAATAAGGATGAATGTCTTTTAATTAAGGTACAGGCCTAGGCTACGATTAGCTACAGTGCTGATCCAATTTTACACCTATGATGATTTCAGTTGAAGGATACTGCTGTAACATATGATCAGGCACCTCATGAACTAAGTCTAATATCTCTCTCCTCGTGTCCTCTGCGGCTTCCTGAAAGCACAGAATAATTTTATGCATCCCAATTGTTGCAGCAACTGTTGATAACACTACCCATTTATGTGTTTACATTTTAAAAAAATTGGCACTCCAAACATCCAGAATTGTTTCAGAAGCTAAAATTACAAAAAAAAAAAAATCTTTAAAATCACAAGGAATTTTGTTTCTATTTTTAAGTTTTTTTTTTTTTTATTTGCCTTATGATTGTTTAGTCTTCTGGGTGTAACTTCAGTACCTTGAAAAAACACAGCTAAAGTAATTTATTTTCCTTTTATATAAAAGTTCAGCTCCAGCTAAAATAACTTTGTTTTCAAAAACTGGAGTTATGGAAAGAAATACCAAAAGTTTATTTCGTGAGCTTTCAGATTACATAGCCTACTACCATCCCATTCATTAGAAAAATACTAAAAAGTAAATTTATTTTTATAAGAAATATATATACAGTTCATGGTTCATTTATCCACTCACTGTGATAGTACACTAAAATTACCTTGAATCAACACAGACCAACACAGTGTTGACTGTCAATTATGAAACAGTGAAAATACCTTATTTCAAGCCTTTCACCATAAGCAAGTTAATAAAAATATTTTTCCAAATTTTCCCAACCCTCAAACTTCTATCTATCCATGCATCGTGGATATTATCAAAGTCAGAGATGCAAAGAGTTCAGAGCCAACTTATACTCACTCATTGGTGTTCATGAGCTCAAAGTCAGAGTTGAGAACCCAGCTACAGCTCCCAGTGTCAGTCTCTCCCTGAGAACAGTCTGTCTGCTTTTAGCTCTGGAAACTATAACCAGAAACTAACAAGCTTTGAGGATGCAAGTTCTACAAAAAGGCAGATCAGATGAACCAGCACTGTGCTGCAAACACATGCAACTGGGTTGACATAGCCTTAGCTCAAGTTCAGGAAGCTCCATCAGCTCTCACCTGTGTTGGCCACATCGATGTTCACAAAACCAA